AGCTGAGGCGCATCGATTGCTTGTAGAAGCATATGGTGAGGCTGCTTTAAGTGAGAGAAGTTGCCGTGAGTGGTTTCAAAAGTTTAAGAACGGTGAGTTTGACGTCGAAGACAAAGAACGTAGCGGAAGGCTGAAAGTGTACGTACGTACATACGTACATACGTACACATGTATATATATATATATATATATATATATATATATATATATATGTACTGTGACGTGAAGATTTGTAAATATCGTCCGTCACTCGTAGTCGATAGTAAGGAAGCATTATGAGCTTCTCGGCTGCAGGCGGATGTCGCGTCCTAGCCGTGAGGCGTTTAGGACGCGACATCGAATCATACGCAGCCCTCGAATCATATTTTTGTGTATAAATACGGTCATCGAGGTTGAGTCAGGAAGAAGAAGGCCACCAGCAAGGAGGACTGCTGCCGCCGTGGGAGAGAAAAAGCCTGCGAGAGGAACGGCCGCAGGACCTGCTACTCCAGGTGAACCGCTTCCGTTAATAATACGACTCAGTAGGGACCCACAGGGTGGAAAACCTAACACAGAACTGTTTCAGCAACATCCTGAACGGCGAAGCGAAGCTGCCGAAGGGGAGCGATCACAGGCTGTCGCTAGGAAGCCGCGAGGACGGAGTGGATCGACACCGCGGACGAGCGGAGGATAGCTGCCACCGGAGGAAATCGGCGAGCACATCCTCCGCGACCCGGAGCGTCCTCCGATCCGAGCGAGGACGCCGCGAGGCTCGTGGATCGACGCAAACAACGGCTGCCGCAAAGGAGTTAAAGCCAAGGTCAGACGGACAAGGAAGCTCCAAAGCCTGACGTACCGAAAACAGCTGTGCAGAATCTGAGATCGAGAAACGGGGGAAAGATCCCGCCAATGAGCGCCCAAGAGCTGTCGGAAGCGAGTTCAAACACCTCAAATAAAACGGGACGACAACGACCGTTCGAGAGCTTTTGTCGCCCATCTCGCCAAATACACGGAATCTAGAGTGTGAAGGACGCGCCATCCGTAGAGCCGAGAACTGGAAGACGAGGCACCGACGACTCGACCTTCGACCGTAAGATCGCTGCGAGATCCAGGGTCACATTCGTGTGAGTCCAGAGGGACCGCCGAGGCCAGCTATCGGCTGCCCCCGCTCCGCTCAAGCTTTGGTGAGTCCGTTCCGAAAGGGACGAAGACTATATCTTTTGGTGATTTTCGTGGCGCGGAGCGGGCGAGGCGTCGACAAGCGGGGACCCGGCTGTCCTCCTGGACAAGGACAAGGGCTCGCGTCCCTTCCGCGCGTTAGAGGGACAAGTTCACGGGATCATTTCGACGTTAGCAAACCCGCCGAACATCCGCCGGTTGTACCGTCGACGCGGATACACCGCCGAACGCTTACGTGGCGGTCGTGACCTCCGCCGGTCACGACGCTAACTCGCGCTGCCGAATATCTCTGTCGCGATTGCGAACAAGGACTCAGTTTATTATCATAGTATCTTTGCTGCCGGTTAATGCCAGTGTAACGGTAACGAGCAATAAACGTTGTCTCAAGATATTTCGGCTCATTTAATTATCCTAGTCGCTGTTCTATCCTTTCACCTCCGACCTCGCGCGAACCAGCCCCTCTGCCGCGAAGAGGGCTGAGCTGTCGGACGTTCGGGTCAGCCGTTCGGGCGGACGACGAGTGCTACTCTTCGGCGAGACCAACCTTTTCGTGTTTAGTGTACGATTCTTTTAGTGGGTACGGACCGCCGTACCTGGCGCCCAGTTAGAGTTCTCTTTTTGTGTTGAGCTGTCGGGTCTCGCGAAATCCGCCGAACTGTGAGAGCTGACCAGGAAGTAAATAAAATAATTTTGTCGCTGCACCCGATTCGTGTGCCGACTGCGCGAGTCGCGAGTGCAGCGTTACAGTACGTATGTACGTATTTACGTATGTACGTATGTACGTATGTACGTATGTGTGTTTGTGTTTGTGTATTTGCGCGTGTGTGTATCGTTTTATATTAACAATGTATGTAAATATATGAGTACATTGTTGTGAATACATCTATTGTTATTATTATTATCGTCCTTATTTATTGAAATATATTTTGATTATATATTCTGCATATCAATACTAATTGCATATTATTATGACGAAGTTCAATGAGTACATGTTGCGTATATTATCGAGTAGGTTAGGCGGCTACGGATGGCATTACGGTTCTTTGGGGTTATTTCCACCTATTTTTTAACAAGTCTGTATATCGGAAAATCATATTATATATGGTTGGATTCGGCATAAAATATACTTTTTTTTTGGTGGACATAAAATGTTTAAATTACAAAAAAAATTGTTGAGTGGAAGGGATATGTTGACAATCATTACATTTTTCCAATATCTGATTTTGTCATTACAAAGTACTCCTAAAACCATTTAATTTTTGTTTAAAAAATTTTTTTCTATCTTTTGTGTTTTTGACGAAACATGCTGCTAAAGGAAAAAGCGATTTTTTTTCAAAGGGGTGTTTTGGCCCCTAAAAGTCCGTCTGGGCACATATAAAAAAATACGTGTCTCCTCTTTTGATTTAGATTACAACATATTTCAAGCTCATCCAAATCGGAGGTAACAATCTACGTAGGGTTCCTTATTAGTACCAAATTTCAGCATAATCAGATCATCTTTAGCATTTTCATCCGTCATATTAGATTCGTCATTTTGAATTTTGGAATTTTGACATCAATTTCGTATTTCGCGATTCCAAAAACCAGAGGATACCAAGTTTTATGAAAATCGGACCTACTAATCAGAAAATAAACGTTGTGTGCCATATGGCGTCAATACCGGGGTTAATAAATTATATTGCATGCATATATATTGTTGTCTACATACACTAGCATACAGTCTCATTTCTACTCTACTATACTACTCTTCCATTTGTGGTCTTTCTTTGCATCAATAATAGTTTATATATACTCATACATATGTTTGTACATACATTAATGACATTTGTAGGAATTGGTGGCTCTTACTGGGATGTATAACTATGCTGACATTACTCACAAGATTCTATAAAGTTACGGAGCCTCAGCATGTTTGGTAAGACAAATTAAAACTCAGCACTACAGTACCAATTTTATTTAATGAAATTATTAAATTTTATTAAATTTTATTAAATTTTATTAAATTTATTATTAAATTTTATTAAATTTACTATTATAAATTAGTATAGAATCTGTAGAAATTCTTTGATTTTAGTTGGGATGAAACTCATTTTGGAAAAATGGGCAATTGGTACATAAATAGGACATTCTTTTTTGATGTACATCCGCCTTTGGGAAAGGTATATAATTTTTGTGGAAATCTTTTAAGTATGTGTAAATAATTATTTTAAACAATTGTTATTATACTGACGTATTATGTAGCAAAACATTATGCATAAGTGATTTTTTAAATTGTGTTTTATAATATTCGAATCATATACTTTTATGTTTGTAGATAAAAAAATATATATGTATTAAAGGACATAAACTAAATGTTTAATAATTAATTCTTTATAATGGTAACATGAGACAAACAATAATTTCTTAAAAAAAAATCCAAATTGATTGTGGAACTTTTCTCCAGCTTATAAGACTAACAAACAATATATTGCAACTCTCAAAATCAAGTTTCAAATAAGTGATAGCTTGTTCAATAACTTGTATCAAGAGCACAATAATCCTAAAAAATTTGGAGTAATTAGGCTTTTATTTCAGAGAAAAAATCAAGGAAAGTAGACATTTAGAACTATATCGTTTATAAGAGATGAATCAACACTTTCATCACTCGGCTACGTGATGTGGCCATGTGAACTATAATATATTCTGACTGTTTCGATGCTGATGACAAGCATTCAAGTTTCAAAGATCACTTTTTTGATAGAATGTTTATTTTTTTTTCTTATTTCTTTATTTTAAAAATATAATCAATAATTTTTATGCATTATCCTTTTTTTCATAACTTATTCCATTTTTTCATTGGGAAATTGTTGCAATTTTTTAATTTAAAATAATATAGAATATAATTCGTAGTATAGTTTTAGTAAAATAGATTTTTTATAAACTTTATTAATCTTATAAATTACATAAGTTTTTGTACAAATTTTTATCCACAACATTGTAACTTTATTGTATGTAGTTACTTATAAAAATATATTCTGCTAAAATTATTACAAATTATATTTCTATACTATTTGAAATTTAAGAACTCTGAAAATTTTCCCCTAATTATAAAAACATTATTAAAACATGGGATAGGATAAATGGAGAAGAAAAAAAATAATATATGAAAATTATTAATTACATTCCCAAAAAATAAAGAAATGAGCAAAAAAAAAACATTCCACCAAAAAAAAAGAAATGAGCAAAACGAACATTCCACCAAAAAAAAATCTGTGAGACTCTAACGCTCAGCATTTAAAAAGTTACGACGCATGTTTTAATCTACTCCGTCACACTGTCTTGCTGACAGAGAGTATTAACTCGGGTTTCAATCGGTGCAGTTCGAAGCGTCCAACTTTTCTTTGTTTTTTTTTAGAAATGAAGGCCCATTCATTTAAATCCCTTTAAGATTACTTTCGATGTAAACTACTGAATAAGCTATTGGGATTCGTCTAGAATTTAATTTCGTAAATTGAGGCATTTTCTTGTAAGTTTTAATCTTTCCTTTTATTGATTTATTACTTTTTGAAGATAATTTTCCTATTTTATTGCCTTTTTAAATATGAACATTTTGTCAATAGGAAACATACCAGTATGTTATTTAGGATCAAATATAAATGATAGGAAATATAGAGGAAAACGCCCAGTAGCCAATACTAGAATCACTTTAAGCAGAGTTTGGCCATAAGGGAATAACTTTTGATTGGTTCGCTATGTTTCATCAAATCTCATACAATATCCAATCACAGTACGCCTATGGCAGTAGCTTAGGTTAAGACAAAGATAGAGATTGAAAATATGTCTCTCTTTCTCGCAGGATTTTGACGAAACCGCGCGTTATGGCCAAACTCTGTTTATAGTGACTCTACCCAGTACTCGATACAGCACTCAGCAACAGTTTTTGGTACTTTGCTCGGATTCCATCAAATATTAAGGTGTATTTATCAATTACTTATCAATTCTTATTTATTATTTACTTATTCGTTTTTTTTAATCTCTATACTCATCTTAACCTTTTAAGTCATAGTGTATTATACTAGGGATACTAGGGATGTGCCGGATATTGAATTTGCCAGATACCAAATACCGGATATCCGATAACGTGATACCGGTTATCCGATACTAATTTCTAAAGAAATTTCTATATTAACATTTACATAAGTAATACATTACATATCGTTTGCCTATATTTGCCATATAATTTAATATATAATTGGTCATTAAAATCGATCATAAGAATATTTATACCACGTAGCTTACAACGAGACTGTTCCAATTGCACACTATCAACTGGTGCTCTGCTTTATTTAATGAATTACTAAATCCAACTAGATCTAACCAATTATTACACTCCGTGTCGAATCGGTCTGTGTGCAACTGGACTTCACCTTACAACAGAGTTTTTGTTTCTCTTATGGCTCTTGCAGACCAGCGCGATGTGCGACGTAACACGCGATATGTGACGAGCGATATCCAATCAGAGTACTGGTTTTCCGGTAAAACTATACGCTCATTGGATATCGCGCGTCGCATATCGCGTCGCATATTGTGCTGGCCTGAGAGAGCGGGTCACTTTGACGGCACTGCCAAGCGTTATTGAAAATAAATGTTCAGAAAGATTGTATATTACAGAGTTGACTTAATAAAATATAATTAGTTTGTTTGTTCTTAGAGAATTTTAAATTTCGAATTCTGCATTAATGGCGCAAACTTTCAAACTTATACTAATAAATTAATATCCGGTTATCCGACTCTGATACTAATGAAATTCGGTTATCCGGCCGGATTGTAAAGAGATGGCCGGATAGGCCGCATATCCGGCACATCCCTATATGATACTTTTTTTTAGAATTGTTTTTACGAATTTAAACTAATTGTAGAGACTTTGAGGCGGTAAATGTGGATTCATTGTGAAGCTTATATGTTCCTCTAACAGAATCATTTGCATAGAACATTAAATTTTGCAAGTTCAATTATTCATAAACAAATTAATGTAAAAAATGGTGTTTTTTTGAAAAAAATTCATTTGCCAAAAATATTACAAAGTAAACCTATGGAAAAATGGCTTGATTGATGCTTTTTGAGCTGTAGATAACGCAGCCTCAAAAATTTCAAAATTTAAAGTGGTGAACTCAATATAGCCAGCTAAAATACCAACAAGCGGAATAAGTTATATTTCTTTTCGTAAATGAGTGAAGTTGAGTTTACAGCTTGAGTGAACAGCTTGAATTTCAAAAAAGTGATTTCGAATTCGTGATCAGCGACGCCAAAAATTCTCGGATATCAATTTTTACGGAAATCGAGGGAGTTTTAAAATTGTTGTCCGCCATATTGGATCCTCTATCTTGAATTTTCAAAAACTGACTTCAAATTTGTAATTTACGATCCCAAAAACCTCCAGATATCGATTAAACAGACAAAAAGGTTGTCCAGAAAAATTCATGACTTAAAAAGTTAATACTCGACAATATCCGTGCAAGAGTGCCAAAAACAGGTAGAGTACCGACTGGTAGTTTTTTCCTACTAACATATTATTAGCAAGCCAATATAAGATTTTATAAATATATTCTACATAAATATATTCTTTTATCTTCAATCCAATACATATATTTATCTGAGAAAATTTGCTCATTATAGACAAGATTTTTATTTCATACTTGTTTTCATATTAGCAAAGTATTATTCATCTTTTATTTATTTAGCATAAATGCAGTATAATTAATAACTCAATTTACTTGATATGTATGTAATAACATTAAATTTTAGATGCTTATTGCTTTGTCTGGATATATAACTGGCTATGATGGTACATTTGCTTTTGAAAAACCTGGAGATAAATTTGAAAATGTTAATTATATCGGCATGAGAATTGTAAGTTAATTTAACTTAATTAATTAAATTAATTAATTGTAAGATAATTATTTTTAAGTTAATTTAACTTCATCTAAATTAAAAAAAAATTTACAAGAAAATTATAAAATTTACTTTTATTTAGACTATCGAAAGTAAAATTTAAAGTATCAAGTATTAAGTATTAAGTAAAATTTAAAGTAAATAAGTAAAATTTAAATGCAATTTTCCTATTTTAGTTCTGCACATCTTTAGGTGCAAGCATTGTTCCTTTGTCGTATCTCATCGTATGGGATCTCACTAAGTCCACTCGTGCTTCCTCGCTTGCTGCTATTTTTATTTTATTTGGTAAATTACAGTATTCTTATAATAAATGAGATAATCTAGTTGATCAAAATATCGGTAAATAAATTCCATTTCAGATGTAGGACTGCTGACATTAAATCAGTATATTCTCTTGGACCCAATATTGTTATGTTTTATGATGTGCGCGACATGGGGAATGGTGCGCGTGGCGTCGCTCCGAAATCAACCATTTACATGTTCTTGGTGGTTGTGGTTGTCATTTACTGGAGCTTCGCTTGCGTGTACAATTAGTGTGAAATTTGTTGGGCTTTTCGTTGTTCTACTCGTGGGTCTTTATACTGTACACGAGCTTTGGCGAGAATTAGGGGATCTGTCCAATTCTATCGTAAGTAATCTATGTAATGAGTGCCATTTCACAATTTTACGTTGAAAATCATGTAAATTCTGTTATTTTCTCATTCGCTAATATTATACAGCACGTCCCATTTTAATCAATACAACCGAGTATTTCTGAAATTCAGAAAGATGTCGAAAAGTGTTTTGAATAAAAGTTGTAGTATATCGAGGGAAAAGGAAGTAATATTTATTTAGTCTTGAAATGACTTTGAAAACTGTCAGGATCATCTTTAATTTTTTAAATAGAATCATATAATTTTTTAAACATAAATAAATTCCTCTGGACATTTTGCGTACAAAAGTACCGGGATAAAATCATCGAAAAGTGTATGCTTCCCGAGATATATTTCACATTTTGTCCTATTTTCAATATAAAATATGAAATATCTTATAAATTATTTACTTTTCGATCATCTCATCTGAATACTTTCGTACGTAGAATAATGAGAAAATCAGTGATACTAATTTTTGCACATTGGTGTATATCCATAAGTCTATAAAATATGCAGAATTTCATTTAAAATTTTTGTATGTCTTTTCTGCAACAATCAGCTTTAAATATCATTTTAAATACAAAAGTATATTAGGATAAGGTTATTGAAGAATGTATTTTAGGAGATATTTTATTCTGAAAAGTATCAAGATACAATATAAAATATTTTGAAAAGTATTAATTTTTCGATGATTTCATTCCGGTACTTTTATATGAAGAATGACCAGAAGAATCTATTTATATAAAAAGAACCACATAATTCTATTTAAAAAAGTAAACTTGATCTTGACAGAGCTTTCCAAGATCATTCCAAGGTCAAATAAGTATCATCTTCTTTTTCCCTCGATATCAATTTTTGTTGGACATAAAGAGAGAAATGCTTTTCTATATCTTTTTTAATTTCGGGAATATTCAGTTGTGTCGATTAAAATGACGTATATTACGATAATCAATAATTTTAATGTTGCGTATGTGTAGTTATTACTTTAATAATTAATTAGATAATTATATTAAGAAACAACGATAACCTTGATCTTCATATATACTGTCAAAATCATGACTCTGAATAACATTTAAAAGGTTTTAGTTGGTACGTATTGTCTATAAAAAAGTTATAAAAGAATGTTCAAACAAACAGATACTATACTATATTCGATACTATACTATATTCGACACTATACTATATTTGATACTATATTATATTCGATACTATACTATATTCGATAGATATTCGATACTATACAGGGTGTCTGACTTATACCATACCAGAGCTAATATATAGCTAGAATAGATCGGGGTGAGTAATGAAATCGGTATCTTTTTTTAAACAACCATGTAAAATTTTGAGTTATTAAATAAAATAGATGGGGTAATCATAGCTAGAGTAGATCAGAGTACATAATGGAATCAATGTCTTTTTTTAAACAACGTAAAATTCTATCTTAAACCCAGAGGTTGAGAGTACATTTTAGATCTAACACTGCGTGATAGACCCGCGAGCAATCGTCCATTTTCTTCGCCGGCCGCGACGAGTCGTATGTCCTGCCTGCTGCGTCGCGCGTTCTGATTTGCTCAACAATTTTAATTAATATCTATATTTTTCTTCTTGGACGTCTTATTCGGAGCACCCTATATATTCGATAACCTGAGTTCCGCTCAGCAAACAATCGAGTCACAAACGAGTAATGATATAATACACATTGTAGAAGAGTTTATTCGGCGCATTTGATTAAAATTAGAGAGTGCTATTGGAAACCTATAGAGATTTTTGTCAGAAAGATTAAGGAGCTAAGTCTCCCAATAAGTGGAGTAGATAAAAGAACGATATATGATAAAAGTCGTAATTTTTGTAAAAAGTGGTTCTTTTAAAACCTACATTTTGATATGTTTTGACACCTTGTTAAATCATTTCTGGTTAAAATCGTTTACAACCCATGGAAAAGTCCTTCAATTAAAAAATTTTTATGAAATTTATTATATATATTGAAGTGCTGGAATTATGTACAAAGAAGTTCGGTTTTTAAGTCAGTTTTTCGCTAAAAATTTCATATCTTCATATTTTATATCTTAAAAATACGAAATAATATGTTTAGTCTTCAATACTTTTTACACTAACATTCATTGTCACATCAAAGTAAAACTCGGAAATGAAACCAGAAACAGAAAATTTACAATCGCCGGCACGCTTGTAATCCGTTGTATGTAGTACATACAACACACGTAGTACATACACGATAAGAACCCAGATAGCCAAGTGTGATTGAGCATTTTAAATAAACTAATGCACAGCAGGTATTGTTAATTGTTTGCTTGTATATTGTTAACATGTAATCAATACGTTACTGAATGCAACAACATGATTGTTTATACTTACAAGGAACCCCACGTAGGTAGTTACCTCTGATTTGGATAAGCTTGAAATATGTTGTAATTTAGACCAAAAGAGGAGATACGTATTTTTTTATGCGTGCCCAGACGGACTTTTAAGGGGCAAAACACTCCTTTGAAAAAAAAACGGTTTTTTTTTCTTTAGAAGCATGTTTCGTCAAAAGTATAAGAGATAGAAAAAAATTTTCTAAACAAAAATTAAATGGCTTTAGGAGTACTTTGCAATGACAAAATCAGATATTTGAAAAATATAATGATTGCCAACATACCCCCACTACTCAACAATTTTTTTATAATTTTAAAATTTTGTCTATCAAAAAAAAGTATATTTTATGCCGAATCTAACCATATATAATAATATGATTTTCCGACATATGGACTTGTTGAAAAATAGATAGAAATACTCCATATAACCGTAACGCCACCCGTAACCGTCTAATCTACTTGATAATATACGCAACATGTATTCATCGAACTTCCTCATAATAATAGACGCTTAGTACTGATATGCAGAATATATAAACAAAATACATTTCAACAAATAAGGACAATAATCATAATAGATGTATACACAACAATGTACTCATATATTCACATACATTGTTTATATAAAAGGACATATATACAGGGTCTCACACTCTCCTCCAGACATTTAATGGGGACATAGAATAGGTTGATGAAAAATAGGATGATGAACATAAAAGTCCCATACCGTTTTGCGAAATTCGTAATAATAGTCGAATAATTAATTGTGAAAGATTAAGGAAAAGCGTGCGTTGAATGGTAGAGGACAGACCGCTTGAGTCACAGCGCAGCCCAATAATATAGCGCGCGGATGTCGTGCGTGGCGATTGGAAGACAATGCACCATTGTCTATACTTATACCGCTGCGCTCCTACGTCTTGCCGCATCGCGTCGAGGCGTGCGTGCGTGCGTGCGTGCGTGTGTGTGTGTGTGTTTGACGCAATTGCTAGAAGCAATACACGAGTTGCAAAATCGGTCATGTTTATTAGTCATAGTTTAGTCATAGATGTAATGAAATATGAATAACAAGTATACAAAACAATCAGGTTTTTGCGATGCAAATATATATTATATACAGGGTGTTTCACTTTAAGTGATATGATCGATTATCTCGCGAATCGATGATTTTATTGAAAAAATTTTCCAACGAAAGTTGCATGGCCTGAAGGGGGACATGATGAAAATATTGACTTGACCTTGAGTGATCTTGTCCAAATCAGATCAAGGTCATTAATGTTTTTTTAAACGAAAACCCCTATTTTTTATTACATATTCTTGTAACTTATCGCGAGAGCTTTCCAAAAGACTATAATAAAGTTATGGATGCGTTCGTTTTGGACGCTCACATACTTAAATCGCTTACGCTTATAAACGCTATTTTTGCCCGGTTACTTTGATTTCTAAGCGCACTCATCGAAAAGATCATAACCGTTTCCTTTGGCTGTTGTAAGCAATTGTGAGCGTAAAAATAGAGGATAAAGATAAGGAAATTGTTTGTGTATTTGCTCAAATATTAGTTTTATTAGATGTTTTTGATGATAACGAAACAAATAACTTATATAACGAAAAATTAGAAAAGTATTTATCCGTAATGATTGGATCAATAAAAAAAACAATACCTCGGTTAAAAAACTATGTGGAAGTGGTTGTACCATTATACAATGATGAAGTATTTAAGTCACATTTTAATAACTTTTCATTTTATAACTTTTGTTTTATTTAAGATCAACGATTTTAACTTTCATGTTCATGTTTATACAACAAAATATGAAGATTTAGGTACAATAAATTTGTGAGGAAGTCCGTTTCCTTCATCAAATGTATTACTAGTGTTGCTAAAATATTACTTATTTTTTTTTAATTACCCTTATAGAAATATACTAAGAATCATTGATAATTACTTATTATCCAGTATTTTTAATACTGAAAATAAGTAATTATCAATGATTCTTAGTATGATATTTCTATAAGGGTACCGTTGGACAGTGCTTTATTACTCAAAATAAATATGATTTAATAAGAAAAATAATAAATTTTTATGAGAGGTGTCCTAAACTTACCTGTTTCTACATGTTTTGCCTCATCTGATGTAACAACAAGTGTATACATTTTATTATTTGTAACATCTTGCAGAGTTACTCTGGTTTTGTTACTCTCGTTGGAAGTCATTTTGAAACACTATTTCACTTTAAGATTTATATTGGAGGTTAGATTTCATTGACGCAGTCTAACTTATCGTTCTCTTTGGAAAATAAGCGCTTATATGTTCTCACGCTTCTACTGCCCTACCTCGATAGAAGAAGCGAATGTAAGCGCGAGTTATGACGTCACGCATGACGTCAATATGCAGTTTTTAAGCGCTTATAATGCCAAAGTGAACGACGTGAGCGCTTAAAGCGCTTAAAGCGCGTAAGCGTTCAAAGCGAACGCACCCTATGTTTCGTTGAGTACTTTCCGAGTTATGGAGCTTGAATGTTACAGTATCGCCGGCATTATTCATGTACGCATGCACGTGTGAGCGGGATTCTTACACGCGCACGATTTATCCGCACTACTTGACATACGCTCACGCGCACGGAATTGAG